GGGCCTCTTGCCAGATTTAGAGCTACTTTAATTTTCTGCCCTTGGCTCTACTTCCAAATCCACCACAGCTTCACCTTCTCTCAGGTTCTGTAGTTCACTAGAGAAATCCCAAATCTTCGCTGCCCTTGGTCTGCATGTCCCTTCCGAGTTCTCCCAACTCTGGACTCTCAGACCAAGTCACAACAGCCTCCTACTTTGGGCCAATCTCCCTCACAAAATGGACCTTCTAGAGCTCATAAGTCAGTTCCCTCACTCTGAAGTTTAGGTGCCTCTCCACTAGATCTGCTCCCCCCTGGAGACAAATCCTCGAGAGTTACCCACACCCCACTTCAGGTGCACCTAACTGAAATCCTTTTGCTCTGGTCACACTAGCCAAGGCTTTTCTGGGCAACTGGGCAACTGGACCCTCGTATCCCAACCGCTGGACACCAGTTTTGTCGCGACTGCCACCTCCTCCTTCGTCACCACAAGAGATGACAGGTCACGATCCTTCACACACACATACACAACTTCGCTGCCACCAACCACACATAAACCTGACACTTCAGACTTAGTATGGATTTCAAAATAAAAATGATGATTTATTGAATACAAAAATAAAATGTAAATCACTGAGTAAAAGAATCACTTGTCACACTATATTTCTCAGACCTTAACCCTGCACAGTTCTTTGTTACTTAACACTCAGTTACCTAACCTATATCTAACCCTGTCTACAGATCTTCTTTCAAGCCCTCTCTCAGCCCTCTATCTATCTAAACCTCTCCTCTTTGCACTTCCCCCTTATATACAAAAACTCCACCCCTTTAAGACCCACCTCCTGCCCTGACATAGGCCAGGAAACTCCAGCCTTAGCCAAGACAGGCAGGTGACGTCATGGCACACGTCACACTGTTCACTGATGAGGGCAATAATTTGGCTAACTAACAGACTGACAGGTCTGTCCACAAATGGATATTGCTACAGTATTTAACATCTATGAAACAGCTGGGGGAGGTCATCAGGAGAATTGGAATCGCATGTTATCAACATGCTGATGACACAAAACTCTCTCCTTCTACCCTTTTGCAATGGATGCTGTCCTGTCTCTTAAGCACTGCCAGGCTGCTTTACTGGAGTGGATGAGGGATGACAGATTGAGGCTGAACATGGACAAGACAGAGATCTTTTGGGTGGGTGCTCCTGCTGTCTGTGGATTAGGTGCCTCCCTCTCTTTTGGGGGTGCTACTCTCTTTACTAAGGATGATGTTCACAATGGGCACCCAAATAGTCTACCTATTTCCATCTCAGGTGGATTGCCCAGCTGCATCCCTACCTTGACACCAGGCCCCTCACCATGCTGGTCCATGTACAGATAGTCTCAAGGATATACTACTACACTCTCTACATGGGGCTGCCCATGAGACTGTTATAGAAACTTCAGCAGGTCCAGAAGAGTGGCCAGTTTACTGAGGAGAATAAATCAATACAGTACCAACATATCACTCCAATTCTAGCCACCTTACACTGGCTACCAGTCCATTTCCGTGCCAGGTTCAAGATTATGGTTCTAACCTAACCCATCTTACCCAAACAGCCCAGACAGGTTGTTTGAGAGAGGCCCAAACGAGAAAAATAGGAACTGGGCCTTCTTAGCAGCTGCTCCTTGGCTATGGAATGAACTACCTCCAGCAACTTGCCGGGTCCCTTTGCTGGTGGTTTTCAAGAAATAATAAAAAATGTTGTTGTTTAGGCAGGCATTTCAAAATATTACACCTGTGCAGTCTGTTGAATTCTCTTAGCCTTAACATGATTTAATTCCACCACTTTAAATGCCTATATACTGTGTGTAGAATGTATTTTAATGTATCTTGTGTATTGTTTATTTTTATTTCATTATTTTTATACTGCATTTTTGTAGAACTCTGAATGTTTAACCAAGCTGATTGGGTACTATTATATGTTCCTTTTGTTGTAAACTGCCCAGAATGAGCAGACGGGGAGCATATACATGAAACAAATAAATAAACAAATAAAATATTCAAATGAGGACTGCTTTGGAAAAATCTTTTTTTTCTTGTTGGGATCATCAGTTTTGTATTGGAACAGAAATTAGTAGATATTAATTTTTACTTCGGTCCTGCCTTGATATGCATGCTTGGTGGCAGTGAGGTTCCTGCCCAAAATATATTGCTCAAGTCCGGAAAAGCCTGGATGCCTCTGCACAGCCAAACAACAACCTAAGCGTAGATTCACAGAGGACCACAGTTACAGAGAAACAATCTGTTCTCTCACAGCCAAAATTAAAGTGTTTTCACATCAGCATTTCATCAGTACTATCGGGTCCACATGCAAACAAAAACATAGGCTTATTTCCATAAATGCAGTTTTCTGCCTCATTTCATGGAACTAGCTGTTGCACTGTTAACTATGACAGTGCGGTGTAGTGGATAGAATAATAGACTAGGACTGGTTTTAATTCCCCAGCTCTGAAATAGAATCTCACCGATAAGTGGGACTGGCAGAACCACTCCTGAAATATCTCACTTACACTGAAAAAAACATTAGTGTTGCTATAAGTCTGTCCTGACTTGACAGCACATAGCGTCATGATACACAGTACTGTATTCCAGTAAGTACTATATAATATGTATGTGTAAAATCCAAAATAAATATATATAATAGAAATATATAGATATAAGCACTATTTTGGGTGGTTGACAATAAATTAAAACAAATGGCATAATAAACAAGAAATATAACATAAATAACAAAAGCATTGGTTAAAACTATACCAAAAAAAATTTGTTTTTGTGCCATCATGGCTATCCCGGCTTTTGTTTGGTTACTAGAAACGCTCCAAAAACGAAGCCCTACGTGTAGCGTCTGTATTTCCAACTAACTCTGCGCGGGGCTCTGTAATAAACCATGTGCCATGGGGGACCGACACAGTAATTCCACGATGAGGTCATTTGTTCGCTCCTCGGAGAGACGAACACAATGCTATCCGTCCAACTTCCTCGCCATGGAAGACACACCTCTCCTCAAGCATCGGTCTATAGGCGTTCAGCTAATTTGCATAGCCTCTTCTTGCCCAATAGCACACCACTGCCTACTTTGCATGAGCACAGCAGTCCACTCACCGAGCCGTGGGGCGGAGCCGTAACGTGTTGTTACTAAGCGTTGGCTTCTAAATTGTTGCTATAGGGGCCGGCCTATCAGAAAGCAGGATGGTTTGTCAATATTATCTTCGCTGGAAGGCAGGCGGAGTCCGCTGATTGGCTCCGCTAGAGCCCGAGCCCCGCAGATCTCTTCATGGATTGGATAGGGGGTTTGTCTCTTTAAAAAATTAATATACCAACTGTGGGATTGTAGACTTCGGTTTTTAGAAGAGACTTTCGAGCACTCCTGAGCGTTGGAACTCCGGAGTAGTTTTTTCCCCCCCTCTCTTCTGTGGGTCTGCAAATTTGTTAAGAACAGGGTGAGGCAAAGCTAGGAAGGAGTCTATGAAAATGGAGTGGAATTCTTTGCTCATGCTTTTGGAAGCCGCCGAGTACTTGGAAAGACGAGAGAGAGGTATATATATATATACATATATTTTTAAAAAATCGCCCCCGTGGAGATTTCCTTACCTTTCCCCTGCGCTGAGCTGTGCTCGGGCGCTCAGGGGATTTAAGACACTGCCCGGGGGGGGGTGGCTGGGTGGGGGAGGGATGTTTGCCAAGGCCTTTTTTTTAAAGCCCTGTCAAAAGTGTCCGTTGGTGATGCAGACCCCGCTCCCCCAACCAAGGCTTCGTTCTTGCCCGGCCACCGCTCGAGATGGATCGCCTTCGAGATGTTCGTTGGTTGGCATCCCTTTTCCTTTCTTTTTTTTTTTGGCCTCGGGCAAGGCCGGTCAGGTTTTCCTCCACCCAGTCTTCCTCCCCCTCAATCTCCGTCCCCCCGAACATAAGATAAATAAAAGGGTCGCTCTTGTTTGCCAACCGTTTCTTCTCCTCCTCCTCCTCCAGAAGCGGAGCACGGCTACGCTTCGGTCCTGCCTTTTGACAGCGACTACAGCAGCCGAAAAACAAAATCACACAGAATACACACATTCACACATCTTTAATGTCTAGTTTGACACCACATTTCTATGCTAGTTGCTTAACCTCTGGAACCTGGTAATACCCACATTCTTCTTCATCATCATCACCAGCTGGAAGGGACCCTATGGAGGCCGCCATTTTCCCCCCCTTGCGGGGCTGGGCCTTTTTCGGGCTCCTGCGAGGGCTGCCACGCGTACAACGGAGTCTCTCCCTCCCTCCCTCTCCCTCTCTTCCCCCCCGCTTACTCCGAGGCAACCTGGGCGGCGTGTGTGGTTTGCACCCCCACCTCCCGCCCCGGGCGGCTCAGCCCGGAGGCTTCCGTGTCCGGCACTCGAGACACGGGAAAAGTTTGAACGGTGCGCCGCCTCTCCGGGTTTTGACGCCTTCCCCCCCCCCACCCGACTCCGCAGAGGAGCTTCGCCCCCAAGGCCGCGGCCCTCCCCGGATAGGCAGATAATGCCGAGAAGCGCCCCGACGGGATCCGGCCCGCGCTGCCTCCATCGCCCTCTTGCCGAGAGTGAGGGTGGCACCCGCCTGTGTCGGCCACTGGTCGCAGGACACCGCCTGGTCGGTCTGTTGTTGTTGCTGCTGCTGCTGCAACTGAAGCCAGCTGCCCCTCCCTGGGGCCTGGTTCTGCTGTGGCCAGAAAGTCTTTTTATGGGGCCTTTTTAAACATAGATTTCTTGTAGCTTTGTTGGATTGCTCTTTGGCCCAGGCAGGCCTTGTGGCTTCAAAAGAGCACCTCCGCCTTGTCTTTTAGCTACTTGTCCGTCCCTTCCTGTTGTTGTCATCCCTTCTTGCTCATCCTTTGCTTTGCTCAGTTTTTCCCTGACAGCTTCATAGCAAAGAAATATTAAATCATCCGAAATGTTTTTCTCCGCCTGTTTGGTTGCGGTGTTTAACCTTTAGTTAAGATGACAAAAAGAGCCATGTCTGATCTAGCTGAGTAGCCTGCTTTCTACCTGTTTAGCCAAGTGCCACCAAGGAAGCTTGCAAAATCTGAAAGTCATAGCCTCCTTTGGTTATTTTAGTCAGTGTTGGCATCCAGCCGCCAGGCTTCCTCTTCCTGATGTTACCAGGGCGCATGCACAAGGAGGCAAAGGGCTGAAGTTTCAGTCAGGGGATCTTGGTCTGTTTTGTTCACTTGGTAGTATGATCTCCTCAAGCATCACTGAGGAAATTTTCATGGGTGCATTTGAGTATGGGAAGGCTGGACAACCCATAGACTCTACCTGTGCCTACTGAAACTATTAATGCTTAGCCTGACCTTTATGTGGAAGAAATAATTTGCCTGCAAATGTTTGTATAGCCTGTAGTAAATACTGCTTTGGTCAGTGAGACTTAGACAGTGGTTGTCTAAAATGTGTGCATGAGGTGCTGCTTTTCTCCCATCTCTCAAACCTGCCTTGGTCAAAAATAAAAAAAACAATTATAGAAAATGCCAAAGAAACAAATACTTTCAGTAGCCTCTTATATTGCAGTAAGAATAAAATGTTGCCCTTAAGAACTGAAAGCAAGAAACTAATCTGAGGATTGAATGCAGAGAATCTTTTCTCCTATTTGCCCAACTCCAACATTTTCCTAAGAAGATAATTCGGATATGTGGTAATAATCCTTCCTAAACCACCACATTCTCTTCCGCTTGTATCTCCTAAGGTCATTTTCCTCCAACCCAAGTAGACGTTTGGCAGCAAAGGTGGGGTTGGGTAGAAGTCTTTCCGCACTCTATTCTTCAGTGCAGCCAGTGAATGCATTTTCAAGGAAGATCTAAGTGAAGGAACTATCAGCTGTTTTTGGAGGGACCTGGAGTTGAGAGAGGAGCAGTGTGACCAGCACATCCAAAGAAGGGAGAAGACAAAAGAGTCTGGGTTAAGAGATGGGTCATTCCAGTCAGAACCCAGAATACTGGAATTTTAGGTGCAGATAATAAAGGCAGAGTCTCTAGAGCAGAATTAAAATTTGTTGATCTTTATTTCTTTTTTTAATGGCAGCTTAATACATACACTTATCAGATTCATAGTGAAAGTAAAATTTTTATCCGCTAAATGTGGATGCTAGGGTGTTGGTAAAAAAGGGATAATAAAGGAAAATACATTTTTGTTTCCCAGATGTCCCTAGATTGGAAGAAGGTGGCATTTGGCTGAAGAACAGCAATCTGCATATTTAAAATTATCAGACGTAGATGAGATGGGGGTTATAACATTGACCTAAGGAAGAAGAGTGGAGTTAGGGAGAAGAGCCATTAACCTAGGCTGAGGGTCTGAATGTCTACAGTCATGGGTTTCTAGTCCTCCTTTATATTGCCTTTCAGGTAATTGTTGCTAGATGGGGTACTTACAGCAAGAGCGATGGGGTAAATAAAAATTGCCTCCTTTTGTCTACCAAGAGGTCTGTGTTTGAAAACTTTGTAAGTGGCAGAATCATAATCATTAGAGCTTTTAACAAATGGGGAAGCAGTGTGGAAACAGCATTGGTCAGAATTGTATAATTTATGTACATTTGTGTAAGTGCAGTGGTGTGAATTGCCACCAACTAAGGTTATGTTCCTAGTTGCATGTCAACTTACATGGTTGACATTCAGTGAGAAATACATGGATCAACTTATTAATCGTCAGCAGTACCATTGCGTTTATGCCAACATATATATAAGCAGCAGAATTCAGCTTTCTAAAAAAACTATCTTTGAAGCTTTTAGGCAGAGGACTCATGGTGGGGTGGTGGAATAGCATCCCTAAAGCAGCTGTAGAAAAAATAAGTTAAGCAGTGGATGTGGGCAGTGTCTATTGACCTTAGAGAAAACATACACTTGAGTGCCTTTTGCCAGGTGCAGCTGCAATTTTTCATGTTGTAAAAAATAACCAGTTTAGCCTTGCCTTCTTCTTTGATGGACACAGACTCAAAAGGCTGCCTTGCAAAACAAAGGCAGTACTTTTTCAGTAATCAGCATGTCTAAAGCTAATAATTTTTAAAAGTTGGAACACATTGGAACTATATTTTTTGACTACAGAAGTAGTTTCTTACTTTAGTTTAGTTCCCGAGAGATGAAAGAGCATGGGAAAAGGGGGGGAAAGTAACAAACAAAATTATTTTCACATGCATTGTCAGAAGTGGCCACTAGAGGATACCAAAGACCATGCTATGTATCAGTGCTGGCGAACCTTTTTGGGCTTGCGTGCCCAAACGGGGGGGTGGGACACACCACGGGCGGTGGGCAGTGGTGGCGGTGGAAGGGAGAATCCCAGCATGGAGTTGCCTCAAGACCCCACTCCTGATGCGCTGCCAGCACTAGCTGCTCTGGATCCGCCTGCTGAAGTGCCAGCACCGCGGCTGCAGCCACCTTCTCAGGTTTGGCGGGGGGGGAGTAGCAATCTGATGACTTACGGCTTGCGTGCTGGCAGAAGGGGCTCCGCGTGCTAGCTGTGGCACACGTGCCATAGGTTTGCCATCACTATTATGCATGCTTCACAACAAGTGTTGTTTCTATCTCACTCTAGCAGCCAGTTCTGGTAATATATGTGAAAATAGCTTTTTCTCAAATTTTTCTTTCAATATTTTTAATATTTTCAGACTATGGATAAGTAGGCATCCTTCAGTCTCAAGAGACAATGGTAATGTGCTCTGAATAGAGGTCTTGGAACAGCGTCTAACGTAGCTGAGAAGGCCAGTTTGAGAGTGACAATCCCTTCCACACTGAAGACAAATACAATCTGTCCCCTGTCCAGCTCCCTGATTTCGCTGGTTTCGGGACTGCCTCTTTGCCTCGGCCTGCTGAACAAGTGTCTCTTCAAATTGGGAGACGCCATACTGCACCGCTTGCCTCCGGGCTGAAAGCTCAGATGTCAAAGTTTCCCATCTGTTGAGGTCCATTCCTAAGGCCTTCAGATCCCTCTTGTAGATATCCTTGTATCGTAGCTGTCATCTCCCTCTGCGGCTCTTTCCCTGCACTAATTCTCCATACAGGAGATCTTTTGGAATTCGACCATCAACCATTCTCACGACATGCCCAAGCCAATGTAGACGTCACTGTTTCAGTAATGTTTACATGCTAATATGTATACATGGATAAGTGAATCACTGGATTCTGATCTGGTAGATAAGGGGGTCCTACTGTATGCAGTGACATTCTGAATGAGAGCACTGAGCATTAGAGCACTAAGACTGGTTGAGCTGACCGCTAGCTAAAACTGTGCTGAATTCAAACCCCTAGACTCGGGGTGATGGCAATTGCTTAAGGCTATCTCCACCTTGGCCTAACAAGGTCCTTCCTTCCTTCCTTCCTTCCTTTGCCCCTCCCCTTTTTGACTGTTCTGGTGGCTGATTTAGCATAGCATAACAATTGTGCCAGCAGTTTTTTCCAGCAGATTCCTGACACTGGCCAGAACAAGGGAATTCTGACATTTTAGGGACACAAGAGGCTTCTGTCCGTTCCTGATCTGCTGCAGCTGGTGCATCTTTGAGTTTGGATTGCACTGCTGATTTTCAGGATGGGGGTGTGGTATCTAGATAAACCATACTAGAAGCCCTAGCCACCAATTGGTCCTATAACATACTCTCAGAAGATGTAGGTGATAACAATTATAACAATGGTAGTAATGGATCCTCTAATGTTTACTAACTGATAAGGTGCCTTAGAATATAAATGAAGATTCTAAGTTATGAGGAATGAGAATGGGCTATGTGAAATCTTCTTTAAACAGTCTGATTTATTTGAAATGAAATTGTAATTAAGCAGAAACAATAACTTGCTAGCTTTTAAGATTAGTAGAAAGTGTATTGGTAGGAAATGTAGGCTATGGGAAAAATAGTTGCAGAAGTAGGAGAAATGATGAAGGGGCAAGCAGCCTAGAAAGGGGAGGCTCAGCTGTGGACTTGCCTGAAGGAAAGTAAAGACTAGTAAAATCATGGAGTGGGGAAATGAGCAGTGTCTTAATAATAATTGTGTATCACTGAGTCAATTCTGACTTGTGGTGGTCTTGGTAGAGAGTACTCGGAAGTCATTTACCATTCCTTCCTCCGGAGGGCATCTTGGGGCTGTGCAGCTTGCTCCAAACTATGCAGACTGGCTCTTCTTGGATGGATTGTGGGGAAGCGAACTCCCAACCTCTGGCTCTGCAGCCAGATACCTGACTCACTCAACTATCCAGCCAGCTGAGGAGAACCTAAATACTGTTTACAAGAAGCAAAGAAGAGTTAAAAGTACTGGGCATGAAAAGATGGTGGATAAAGAAAATGGAACAGAATAGGGAGTAGGAAGGAAATCCAGGTCATGAAAAAAAATAAGTGATTGAGAGGCATAAAATGGAATAAAAGAGTTTGAAGAAAATGTGTGAGGTTGCAGATGGCTTGAATTAC